AATAAAGAAGAAAGAATTCCCTAAAGAATCTGTTGCTCTTTTGTTATTAGATCTTTCGTCTGCTTTTGACACGGTAAACCATAATGTTCTTATCAGTCGCCTGAAAACAAGCTTCGGGCTTAGCAGTACAGTTATCAATTGGTTTAAATCGTATCTAAGTAATCGTAAGCAGAATGTTATCATTGGTAACTCACTTTCTAAGCAACTGTCAGCAATTAACACTGGTGTCCCCGCAAGGTTCCGTCTTTGGGACCATTATTATTTTCTATGTACATGCGCCCATTATTAGGCGAACTGATTAAACAACACGGTGTAAATTTTTATTTTGACGACACTCAAATTTATATGTTTATCTCAAACAAAGATCATGATCTGGCTAAAGGTGTTCTTGAAAATTGTTTATCTGATATTAGGAATTGGATGACTTGTAACTACTTGCACTTAAATTCTTCGAAGACTTAGTTTCTAATGTTGTCATCTCGACAATTTCATAACAATTTAAGTTCAATTAATGAAATTAAGATTGGTGACAATTTAATTGAGATATCGTCTTGTGCTCGAAACCTTGGGGTTGTGATTGATTCAAAGCTTTCTATGACCAATCACATTTCCAATATTTGCAGGTCGTCCTACTCTTATCTTAAAAGTATTAGCCGTATACGGAAATCCCTTTCTCAGTCTGATACTGAAAAACTAGTTCATGCACTTATTTCGTCTAGATTAGATAACTGTAATTCGTTGCTTGCTGGACTTCCAGCATATAAACTTAAACCACTTATTCTTGTCCAGAATGCAGCTGCTAGGCTTGTAAATAGAACACGTAAATACGATCATATTACTGACGTATACATTAGACTTCATTGGTTACCGATTCCACAAAGGATTGAATTTAAATTGCTAATAATGGTTTATAAATCACTACATGGTGTAGCACCACAATATTTATCTGAACTAATTGAATGGCACACTCCAAAACGAAACCTTCGATCGGGATTTCAGTTTTTTGCAAAGGTAAAATCTGTTAAAGTACTGCAATCGGATGGTAAAAATTCTAAAGTAGCATTTAAAGACCGTGCTTTTGAGAATATTGGTCCTCGGCTTTTCAACACTTTACCCCTTTATATTAGATCTTGTTCTACCATTGATGTTTTCAAGTCTCATTTGAAAACACATTTATTTAAAAAGAGAATTAATGTTTAACTTTCTGTAGGTCAGGTATATTCAACTTGTAGTTCAGCTTCATGAAACTTGATATAACTGTATATTCTTGCATTTTAAAAGCTCTTTATTTTAAATTTAAGACACATGATGTACTGTATAGCCTTGCATTTTAATTGCTTTTTATTTTAAATCTCCAAGACACATGATGTACTGTAAGTTTTTTTCGGCATTTTTAACCTTTTGATGTAAATTTTGATGGTTTGGTAGACTTGTCTTGTCTTTTTCTTTTACAAAATACAAAAAAAATTCAGTGCTTTATCGTTCTATTTCATGTCGCGTTTTCTTTTATTTCAATGTAGATTTTTGATGTGTTAAATGGTATTGTGATTTTTGTGATGATTATTGGTTTCAAACATTTCTATTAGCTTTTAATGTATATTTCTTATATGTTTAAAGTGTATGTTGGTCTATGAATATTTTTAAATTCTGTACAGCGCCGATGAACATTTTTAATGGATATTGTTTCGCGCTTTATTAAATGAAGTTATTATTATCATTATCATCATCGTCATCATCATCATCATCATCATCATCATCATCATCATCATCATCATCATCATCATCACCATCATCATCATCATCTCTGTTATTGGCCAGAACCTGTATGATAAACAGACTGGATATCTTATTTTTTACATAGCTCATAATGCAACATGCTTCACAATATTTTACCAATCATTGGTGCTTTCTCCCATTGTAGCTGGTAAGATTGACATTTGAACTTTGGCTCCATTGAACGAGTCTTGGTTTGAGAGACAACACAAGAATAGATTAATTAGCCCAGGGTCATGAATAATGTAAGATTCAAAACCTCAGTGACCGTAACCATTACCTCTCATTTTTAGTCCAATTAAAAGACACACACACACACACACACCCCCACACATATATATGTTTGGTCAGTGTATTATAGTCTTTTGAAGCGCTTGGGACGATTCCATTATCATCGAGTTTAAAATAAGGCTGTACACCTAGCCGAACCGCCGGCTCTTACACATTTACAAGTAAATTGGCGTCTTGTAAACAAATTATGCTGCTACTGGCAACGATGGATTCGATTTGTTTTGTCAACAAATAATTGGTAAGAAATGTATTTTATTGAAATATAGTGGTTATTTTGTAAACTCAAGTAGATATATTTGATATATTATTACCTAGGCCTAGGCCCCGGATACTTTCTGAAGAAGGCCTGTCTTTTCATCGACTCAGCGGTCTCAGCCTGGGGCTGGGTCTGATCAGACTCGCTTGCTTGCGATCTCGGGACTTGCCAGGCTGATCCACAATACCTAATCTGGTTCTGCAATAAGAACGACAATACGACAATAAGACCAACATATACTCAAATACATAGCAAACATCATTCTCTTTTCTCAGATTTAAGTATGGGTGCGTCATGTTCTAATGGAACCACAGGCACTGTTGACTCCGTGCAGCCGGAAAAAACTCTAACATTCAAAGAGCTGTTACAGACTTGGACAAGTGACGAAGGGAATACGGTTGAGTTACCGGTTGAAGAGTTAGTATATGAACCTCACCCAGATGGCAACTTAGTGTTTGGTACAACAGAGGTGTGGAATTTGTCTTTGAAGTTTCTGTTCATGAAAAATTTCGTACTAACATGATAATGGGTTGAAACCGTGGCATATCAAGGAGATTGGCATGGAGGGGGTGAAGTGAGGTGCGGGGAAACAGTGGCTCCAGATATTTTTCCACAAGTCAAGGGGCCGACATGCCCGATGGGTGGTCTGGACCGAGGGGCCCATAGAACCTCGGTCCAAGTCTTGGAATAAAAAATTACTGGTAGGGTTCACGGGAAGAGTTTTTTATGGCTTAATATGATCCAAATTGTGCTTAGAGCAGCAGTGGCGCCAGAAATTTCCCGACAAGGGGTCCGGCATGTCCGATGTAGGGGTCCAAACCAAGGGGCTGACAAGATTTGGTCGATAACCTAGGCTAACGAAAAATCGCTGGTAGGGTTCACTGTGAGTTTTTATGGCTTACTATGGTCCAGATTGTTTTAGACCAACAATTGTCAATATTAGGGATTGGCAATAACATTATTTTAATAGGCAAATTGTTATTTTTTTTTAAATTTTTGATCGGACGACCTCATAGTCAAGGGCATCAATCCGTGGTTAAAAGTAGTGGGGAGGAAATGAAAAATAAAGCCTTGGGCCGTAGGTCCAAGCCTTGGCTTGGGACCAGCGGGCAAAACATCCCGAAATTTTTTTGTCTGTAACTTTTGTTTTCATTTTGAATTTATTACGATGTACTCTGTCTTTGTTTCTGTTATTTCTGTAACCAATGAAAGAAATGAATAAAAAAAAAAAATAAATAAAAAAAAAACATTTATTTCCATACAAAATTTTCAAAATATCCAGTGGCGGATCCAGTAATTTGAAACAGAGCTGAGCCCAGAGAGGGACTTTTACAGATGGAGAGTGTAGACCACCTCAGCCCCACCATGGTTGGGGCTAAGGTATGAAAATTTATGACTATGGCACCTCTAGTTGGTTGGAAATGGCACTTTCAGAATTAATTTGAATATAATTTTCATTTTTCTCCAGTTTTCAAATTCGAAAAAAAAAAATTAGGGATGGTGGGCCGGCTGGTCCCCTTGAATCTGCCACAGAAATACTCATCATAAAAAGTTTTTAAAATTATCCTTTTAGTCATAATTTTGTCCGCTTATATATTTTGTGCAAAAACATTCATAAAAATAATGATTTATTATATCTACTGATTAGCATGTGACGTATTAAAAATTCGAACCATGAAAAACAAATAATAAACTTAAAACAGTCATAAATTTAGTATTTTTGCATGTACAGTACTTTTAAAATCAATTAAGAGGTTTTTGCTTTTCTCCTCATTTTGAATTTCACTTTTGTGTAAGCAATATTGCGACTACACTATTGTGAGTGGAAATAATACCGTCTAAGTTACGATCAAACAGGACTAGAGAGATAAGGAGCACACAAAACATTAGTTAGCATTTTGATTTCACAAACATAAAGGTGATTTACTTAATTTATCATTATCAGTGGCGGCTCCAGGAGGAAAGCAAAATAGAGGGGGAATAGGGAGGGACTTACACAATTTGGGAGAGTAGATCACCTCAGCCCCACCATGGTTGGGGCTGAGTAAAGAAAATTTATGATTATGACACCTCTAGATTGCCAGAAATAGCACTCTCAGACCAAAATTCTAATTATAATTATCCCTTTTTTTTTTCATTTAAAAAAAATAATTTTGAAAAATTTAGGGTTGGCTCGGCCCCACTTGATTCCGCCACTGATTATTATGAAGAGATTGCGTCAACGCAACACTGGAGTAAAAATTTGGTATCACTATATCAAAATAGATGGACATGTCTTGTGTCAAAGGCTGTAAAATTATTATTTAATAATGGCTATATAAAATTCAATTGACTAACTATATTTTTTTGGAAATTAGGAAAAACAGTAATCCTATGTATGTAGATAATATTGAACACATACGTACGGGTATGCAAAAGGAGTAAATCGTTTACATTAGAAATTGTGCAGTTTTGAGTTTGTTAAAATATTGGCCTATTAAGGATACATGCTTCCAATTTCAACAACGCTCATTACATTGTTTTCACAATAAATTTAGCCTCTGATAGTCGTTGCACCCATAAAATCGATCTAGTGGGTTTCTGAGATGGTTACAAAATGTTTAAACAATTGCGTTTTTACTTGGTTTTGGTCCGG